TTGGAGGTTGCAGGCCTTTTGCCACTGGTCAGGTGTTGTGCCATCCTGACCTCCTGCACCACTGCTCCACACCCTGCAGCCCCAGGGCCCTCCATCCTTTGCTTTGCCCTGGCTCTGCTATGGCCTGGCCCCCCCTCCCCTCAGCATCCCAGGGGTGCTGCCTGCTCACCGCTGTGTTGGGCTCGATGAGACGGTGCTGCAGGTTGCAGGCCTCTTGCCACTGGTCCTCACGGCACAGGCGGGCCAGCTGGCACAGTGGGGCCCCCAGGACGTTGGCAAGGGCACAGACCCCCCCAGAGGCACCTAGATATACCAGGGCCCATTGGCAGCCAGCTCAGCATGTTGTGCCCAGCCAGCACGTCCAAGGCATCACTACCCCTCTCTTGCCTCCCCCTTCCCACCTACCAGTCCCTGCCAGTGTCCCCAGGGCAACACCCTGTGCCCCCCATACAAGCAGGGGCAACTGCACCTACCCACAGCATAGCTCGCCAGCAGGAAGCCAGCTGATCCTGCCAGCACCTGGAAATCCTCCTGCCGTGTCTTGTGGACCATCAGCCCAATGCGGGTGATCTGAGGACAGACATTCTGTGCCCTGGAGCAGGTACCCAGTGTCCCTTCACCCCTGCCACAGGGTTCCTGCCAGCAGCCCTGGGGTCTAGGGAGGAGCCACAAGTCCCAGCTCCCCATTCCCAGCTTGGGGCCAGGTTTGGTGTCAGATAACTGTGGGAAAGACCTGCTTCACTCACATCACCACCACTGTCCTTGATCCCAATGATGTTGGGGTGCTGAGCCAGGGTGACGACAGCCTCCATGGGCAGGTCCAGGCCAGTGTTGGCAGGGACACTGTAGAGCACCACAGGGATGGGGGATGCGTCGCCCACCTGCAGGCAGCCAGGCAGAGCTCAGTAACTGGGGTGGGTTGGAGATGTGTGGAATGTGCTCCCCATCCTGCTACCTCAGCTGGGGCTGCTGGCAGGCACCAGTCACAGCTCACCTCCGTGTAGTGATGGATCAGAGCAGCACTGGTCATGGCCCCCCGGTAATAGCAGGGTGTCACGACCAGTGCCACATCAGCCCCTGCCTCTGCCATGCTGACCGTCTGCTCAATGGTGGCCTGGGTGGCTGGGGAGGAGGCAGAGGGATGAGGGGTGTCCGGGGGGGGGGACACACACGCCCCCTGCACTGCCCACACAGGCACTCACATTCACAGCCCGAGCCGGCCAGCAGCAGGCGATCCTTGGGCAGAGCCTGGCGCACACAGCTCACCACCTCCAGCCGCTCGCGAGGTGTCAAGTAGGGATACTCCCCGTTGGATCCCAGCACCACCAGCCCTGGAATGCAAGTGTGGGGAGGGCAGGGAAGGGTGCCAGGTACCTCCGTCAGTCTTGCTCCCATTTTCACTGCTGGCACCCAGGCAGGGCTCTGCAGCGCACAGAGTGCCCTCTCCTGCCTGTGTGCAGCCCCAGCCTTCCTGGTCAGAAGAGAGGAGACCCTGGGGTACAACCCTACAACCCCCAGTCTCTTCTCCAGGCCCTCTGCTACCATCCATCCTTTCTGGGCAATCAGCAGATACGCATTCCATGAATTCATGTGAGTGTGCATAATAGGAGTGCAAGCACACCCATGAGGCATGAGTTAAGTGCAGGCCTGCACATGTGCGGAGCGTGCACATCCTGTGTGGTGGGAGTGTTGCAAGGGCACCTGCATGTGCCTGGGCACATGCCATGCAAAGGGCCCCAGGTGGGTCACCCAGGCGACTGCCAGCCCCAGAGCAAAGTCCAGCTGGAGGCTGAGCACCCTTGGGAAGCTGGCAGGCTGCCTGCATACTGCCTCACAGCCTTTGTGGCAAGCAGAGACATGATATGAGCCTGCATGGAGAGGGACAGCAAGCTGCACTTACCTCGGAAGGGGATGCTGGCATACTGGCAGAGGTTCCCCTCCAGCTGGGCATAGTCCACCTCCTGCGTGGGTGAGAAGGGGGTGGCAAGGGGTGGGAAGATGCCCCTGAGATCAAGTGAGGGCTCCGGTGCCTGGGGTGTGCTGAGCCCCCGGCACTGCCTGGGGCCTGCCCAGCGCAGAGCTGCCAGGGTGGGCCAGAGGGCTGAGACGAGGCGGGTGCTGAGTGCCATGGTGGCTGGGTGCTGCCGCTGGCTGTGTTGCCTGCCCCGCCAAGGGACTGTTAATGTTTGACATGGCACGTGAGGGGCCAGCAACCCTGCTGGGCAGATGACAATGGGGGGTGGTACCGAGTGTGCTCAGGATGCTCTTCCCCACTCCAGCAGCTGGCTCCAGGAGCTCAGCACTACTCCAAATGAGCCTCAGCTGTCCTGGCTGCACTTCTGCTTGCCACCATCTGCCTCCTACAGGGCCAGGCTGCAGAGCCAGAGAGGGACGAGGCATTGTGGGCAGTCCCAGGGCTGTTGTCAGCTGTTGGTATAGGATCCTCTGTAAACAGGTGAGCTGGAGCATTTCTGGGTAGGGAGCAGTGAGCACTGCACTGAGCAGAAGCGTCTCAGCCTGCAAAGGGACCACATGTCCCCCTGGGATGGCTCCAGCAGGGAAGGCAGGACAAACAGCCATCCAGCCTTGCAGTGTGGCTGCCCAGCAGGAGTATGACTGCTGCTTTCCGCACAGCCTCAGCCTCCAGCACAACATGGACTCGGGTTGAGCCGCCCTCCACATAGTTTTCCTCCCTGACAGAGGAAAAGGTGTACTTGCCCAGGTAGGACTGTGAAGGACTGTGAAGAACTGTGAGCAACCAGAGTGTCCCACAGCAAGGAGTCCTGCCCTTGAACTGCTAGTGACCTAGCCCCACGGTGTCAACACTCGAGTTCCTGTGCTAGGAGGCAGGACACATTGTGCTGTTGGATAACCCTGCTACTGGGATAATCCAGCTTCCTCAGGCCCATCGACCCTGGTGCAGGCTGCCCAGCCCACAGCCCTCTGGAGCCCAGTGCTGCTCTTTGCTGACTTTTATTGACACAGACAAGTCTCGTCTGGATCCTGCCCCTGGGAGCCAAGCCCAGTCTCTGGTCCCTGCCCGGTGCCATCATGCAGGGACCTCCATCTCCCCCTGTGGCTGCTCCTTGGTCTCCAGTGCCTGCCGTGGCCCCCCTGCCACTGCTGCACCAGGTCCATTGGGGTCTTGTCATCCTGCAAGAGTGGGCAGAGAGAGGCTGAGGGCGGGGTGCTGTGACAAGGTAGGACAGCAAATGGCCTTGCTGCTGGCCCCCCATGCTCACCTGGTTCTTGGCCATCATGTCAGCCCCATGCATGATCAATATTTTGATGATTTTGTAGCGGCTGAGCCGTGTGGCATCATGCAGTGCTGTGTCACCCTCCTGCAAGAGACACAGCCTCACTGGGGTTGTGGTCCAGGGACAGGGACGCCCTGCCTGTCCCCAGCACTACTCCCCAGCACACCCCTGTCCCCACAAGGACAAGGGGGACAGTGCCTGTTGCAGCCCTGGCTGTGGCTGCCAACACCCTGGAACAGGCATGTGTGTGTGTCCAGACATGCCCCACTGCAGGTGCTAGGAGCCCTTGGAGGGGTCAACCAAGGGAGGGGGGATCAGTGTTGCCTCCCCAGTTCTGTCTGCATGGCTCCAGCACTCACCCTGTCCGCAGCATTGATGTCCACCCCGCTGTGGATGAGGTGCTCCACGATGTCAGGGTGCCCGGTTCGGGTGGCCACGTGGAGGGGCGTGCTGAGCAGCTTGAGGCGGGAGGAGATGGACATCAAGGAGTACCAGCACTCACTCCTGCTAACCCAACACAGGGCCAGCCCTGATCCCGCAGGGTATGCCCCTGCCCTTGGTACAACCTTGTGACCCTAGGGCTCTGCCCTGCTCACCTTGTCCTTCACATTAAGGTCTGCCCCACGATCCTGCAGCAGCTTGACGACGTCCAGCTGCCCGCCCCGGCAGGCCCAGTGCACAGCAGTGCAGTCCAGCTGGGCACACAGGGCTGTGTTATGGCAGGGGACACTCCTATCCCGTGTCCAAAAAATCCCCATGGCTGAGCTAAACTGGCAGAGCACTACCTGCAGCCACCTCCGTGGTGGGCACAGCACCACCTCACTGCAGGGACCCCAGTCCTGCTGTAGTTCTGGCTGCACCATGCCCAGAGGCTCAGACCAGCATGGAGACAAAACGAAGATCCAGCCTTACCCGGTCCCTGAAGTCAACGGTGGCACCGCTGTCCAGCAGCTTCTGCAGGATGTCCATGTGTCCCTCCAGCGAGGAGCGGTGCAGGGCCGTGCGGTGGAACTGCAGGTCAATGTGCCACATTGGCACACGGATCCATCCTCCCCCAGCCCAGTCTGGTTGTACCTCCAGCCCTGTCCCAGGGGTCCCAGCCCCTGCTCACAGGCATGGTGAGGCATGGCGGTAGGGTACAGGCAGGGGGCAGCCAGCAGCTGTTGGGGACACTACCTCATCACATGTGTCAGGAGGGCCACCATCTGCCAGAAACTTCTCAATGATGTACATCTTGCCCTGGACAGCGGCTCGCAGGAAGGTCTCTGGGTCCACGGGACCCTCCTGGCAGTGGGACAGGCCGAGGGCTGGGGCATCTCAGGGATTCAGGAGTGGGGACAATATGGGGGTCCCTTCCCTGCTTCCCCAGGGAGGTCTCTGACTGTCAGGGTCTCTCAGGGGCTGGCCTGTCCCAGCAGACCCCCTCCCATGCCCTAGGAACCCCTGACATACAATCTCCAGGGACTCAGGTGGGGGGCTCGGGGGTGGCTGCCCGCTCTGCCTGGCGCTGCCGGCGCTGCTTGCGGAGCTCGATGAGCCGTTGGATGCTCCCCACGTCGATGATCTCCCGCCGCAGATCCACTGAACTCTTCCGCACCCTCTCCTGGCCCTGGGGGACACATGCAGTGCCCTGTTTGCCTTCTCTGCACCCAGCCACCCCTGGCCCACCCTGCACCCCAAACACCCTCACCTTGATGGCCTCAAGGCCCCAGTTCCTGGGACCACGGCGTTTCTCCTCCTCCAGCTCAGGTGTGCTCATCCGTTCCACAGCCGGTGGCTCCCGTGCACCATCCCCTTTGAGTCTCTACATGGGCGCAGTGGGGGCTGCATTGTCCTGGCTGGGGACAGAGCAGCCCCCCCTACCTCCATTCCCAGCCTGCCTGTGGAGGTGACTCTGGCCACAGCTCCCAGCTCACCACTGAGGTCTATGGGGTGCCCGACAGCCTTTGGGCTTGCACTTGCCCACCCACCCTACTTGGCAAGCTGGGCACCTGCCTGCTGCTCAGCTCTGCCCCATGATCCCACTGAGAGCCCTTAGACTCCTAGCTGAATCCCCCAGGATGCTAGGATTGATGTCAGCTTCCTCACATCCGAGTCCCTAAGGACGGACTTTGCACAATGGGGGTCCCTGCCACAGCCTAGGCAGGTCCCCCTGCCCTATGGACCCACCTTCTGCTCCTCCTCCTCTGCCAGCTTCTGCTCGATAAGTTCCTTGGCACGTTGCACATCCAGCTCCATGTCTGCTTGTGGTGTACAGCCCTCTGCAGGATGTGTCCTCTCCTCTGTGCCACCACAGGCAGGGAGCACCCAGTCCTGGCTCCTGGACGGCTCTGCTGTCCTTGGTGCTTTATGCTGCCAGCCCCTCCGTCCCATGGCGCAAGGGCACCGACAGCTGTGGCTGCTCCACATGACTGGGGCAGCTTTACCATGAGCTCACCCTCCTGCTTTCTGGTGGCTCTGACTCACCTCCACAACCTCACACTCTCTTAAAGAGACCCACTGCCCCCCACGTTGAGCTGCCCAGGACCCCTGTGCTGGTTATGGGGAGCTGGGGTACACAGAACCCATGGCAGTCAGTTAAGAGAGGCTCAGCAGAGCATGATCTAGGCTCACCCCATAGGTCCTGTGCCTGTGGCACTCACCCTGGGCAACCAAGATGCTCCCCATGGCTCCCATCACCCCATCCCCGTGCAACCAGATGCTGCAGCAGCCACCAGCATTCCCCATGGCCCCTCAGCACCTGGAATGGGGGGGGCTACCCACCCCAAAGGGAGGCAATGGGTCCCCCTCCAGCCTCTCAGCCAGCAGCAGATAACACGTGATTGCCAGGAGCCACAGCCCCTCTGTGCTGCTTTAGAGGATGACCTCAGGTATGGAACGTTCCGAGCAGCCCTGCCAGGGTCCCCGTGGCTGTCCGGCCTCCTCCGCTGCACATGGCAGCCTGGCAGCAGGACTTGCCTCACATGAGGCCAACAGGCAGCTATTCCTGGCAGCGGGAACATTGTTCAACCCTCCTGAGCACTCCCTCCTTGTAAGATGAGGCCAGCAGTGCTTTGTGCTAGGACAGTTAATGCCCTGGGCACTGTCCCCCAGCACAGGACCTGGGGGAAGGACAGATGGTGACACATCACTGTCACCCTTCTGGGCAGTTCCCTTGGGTGCCCTGTCCCACAGATGCCACAGCCTCTGGCTGCAGAAAGGCACTATTTTCACCAAGACAGGCCATGGTGGCCACAAAGTTCATCCTGGAGCTGTCCCTCTCCATGGACTGTCCCAACTGGCCCCAGGACAGACACAGGCTTAAATCTCCAGAGATCTCCAGGAAAATGAGGTGATGACCCCACACCAAAAAGCAGCCAGGAGGACAATGGGATGATGCCAGGAGTGCTGGTGAAGGGTCCAGGCAGGCAAAGTGCCAGGACTGGCCTGACAGGGTCAGGGCAGCACTAGGGTGTCCATGCTATCCCTGGCTATCCTGTGCCCATCCTGACATGAGAGTGGCCACAGGACAGGCATGGGGACCTCCCATGGCTGTGGGTGACAGCCCCCTCCAGCCTGTCTCAAGTGCCAGAGGAAGGATGAAAAGGCTTTATTGATAAATACAGACTATGTACAGAGGGGAGACATCTCCACCCAGCCCAGCACCCCAAGAGTCTCATAGCCAGGGGGAGTCAGAACCCAGTGGGCCACACCCTCTCCCCACTGGCACAGCCTGGCAAAGGAGCCCCAGCCCCAGAGACATTTGGTCTCAAACCTCCTGCAGCAAACACAGCGCCTGCCTGTGTCCCCAGCAAAGATGGGCCACCATGGTGGCACAGCCCCATGCAGACCTTCCTGGGGAGGTCATCCAGGTGGGGGGGCAGCATCAGAGGGGATCAGGGGCTGCTCCAGCTCTGGACAGGCTGGAATACAGCACAGGACATCCCCAGAAGTGCCACTGTCTCCCAGCTCCCTGCTCTCTTCCCTCAACCAGTGTGGGGTGGCTCAGTTCCTGGGCGGCAGGGGCTGGTTGACAATCACTTGCACGACAAAATCCTTCTGGATCTTGGTCTCCTGCAGCCGTGTGCGGTCGGTGAGCAGCTTGCCTGAGAAGAACCAGCGCTGCCAGGCCAGGTCTATGCCCTCCTGTGCCTGCAGCTGCTTCTTCAGCTGCCCGATGGTGTCACCCATGCTGGCACTGAGCCGCAGGTCCTTGCCAGTGGAGAGCCGCACCTTGAGGGCGAACTCCCGCCGGGCACTGGGCAGGGGCTCAGCCGGCTCCACTGCCTCCTCCTCACTCCGCTCCAGGATCAGGTTGATGGGAGGTGCCAGGCAGTAGACAGGCAGCTGGTACCGGTTGCCCAGCTCATCGTAGCACTCTGTCAGGGACCCTGGGGACAGCAGGGTGAGATGCTGAGAGTGGGCATCCCCACAGACCCCCCAAATGGGACCACGGCCACCCCAGGCAGTGCGACAGAGCCTGCCTTACCCCCTTGGCTGAGCTGAGCTGTGTGGATGGCAGCTGGGACCCCCCTCCACTCCAACCTGGGACCCCCATGTGCCCAGACATGGGGCACTCAGCATCCACCCACACCCCCGATGCTGACCCTCACCGTGGGGCAGGGTGATGCTGGCTCCATCGAGGATGGCCTGGGCAAGGCTGTGGTCATTGGCTTCAACAGCATAGGCAGCTGCCTTCAGGGCATCCCAGATCTCCTTGCGGCCCTCAAAGGCAGGTGCTGTGTCCCAAAACTCGTCTCGCTTGCTGCGCAGCTGCCCGTCTGTCATGGGGTAGTCACTCTTCCACTTGGGAAAATGGGGAGGAGGGGATATTCAGCCAAGGGACCTGGTTCCCCCTTGGGCCCTGAGCCCTTCAGCTCCCAAGGTTCCTGGGGACCCCTTGCACCCCAGCAAGGGTCCAAGGGATAACCCTGCCCAGCAAAGGACAGTCCCCAATGCAGTCAGAGGAAACGGGGCTAAAGCTAGCCCTAAACAAGATTCCACTGGCCCCATACCAGTTGCTCCCCCAAATGACACCCTTTGCACTCGGAAGGGACAAGGGCTCTTGCCCCCATGTTTGGAGACCAGCTGCTGCTGTCCCATGGGGTAGCCATGGGGCCTTGGGGCCCTTTGAGGCAGAGCAGTATTTATAGCTTGGGGAATTAGCCAGGAAATAAGCTGGTGAGTTGGAATGAGAAGGGGATTAGAGAGGCTGAGCTGCAGCAAAGGGGGGTCAGAACTTCATCATCCCCACTGCTCACACGGGGATGACAGGGACCAGCTGCAGGCAAGATAGCAGGCACACAGTGTCCACCCCAGCAATGAACTGAACTGAGCTGGCTCTCCACAAAACAGCTCCCAACCATGTCCCCAAAGACCCTCAGCAAACAGCACTGCCCAGGGATCTGGGCTGCCCTCATGCCAGTCCCACATCACCACACCCTCCCTACACCAGGCTGTGGCCCCATGGGAACAGTCCCGTTCTGTTGGCCCCACGGCTGGGCTAGATGCACAGGGCAGGAAGGAGCTGTTGTCACTCCCAGCTGAGCTGCGGACAACGAGTGACAGCACCTCCTTCCGGGCACCCCTCTCCCTGGGGCGGCCAGCCGGCACCCTTCCTATTACAACAGGACATGAGGAAAGTGAGGCTCCAGCTGGGCAGGAAGGATGCTTGTGCCCACACAGTGACCTGCAGGGAAGGTGATGCCACACACCCCAGCCACTGGGGACAGCCACCGCTGCCAGCTAGGGGCTGAGCCACATTCTCCAGGCAGTTCTTCCTGGGCAAGTGCATGGTCACACAAGGCACTACCTGATGTTATTTTTGTACCGGCCCTGTCCCACCTCATCCAAGACCACTGGACTCAGTATAGCATCTGCTTCCCAGTGAGCACCCAGCCCAGAGCTGGACACACGATGTGGCACCTGCCCCAGGGGTCCCCATTGGGCAGAGAATCTCAGCTACCTCAGGGCCGGGTGCTGAGCATCCCTGACACGCAGCATCCTGCCTGCATCCCTGGAGGAGCAAGGGCAGCCAACTGCAGGCAACACTGCCGATTCAGCAGTCACAGTGCTGGGCCAGAGGGATTAGCAGCACCACAGGACAGCGCAAGGTTGGATGCGGCACCTGCCCTGTGAGGGCAGTGGAGACGTGGCCACGGCCAGCCTGAAGGACACATCCAGGATCATGTCCCCATGCTGCTGTGGTCACCAGGCTAGGCCTTGCAGCCAGGACTCCCAGTCAGCAACATTCCCTGAGCTCTGCTCACAGCAAAGGGAAGAGGCTGGTCCAAGGGAGGCAGCAGGATCAGAGCTGTGGGGCTCGGACATGGCAGGGAGCAGGGACAGGCTGTGGCTGCCCTGTGTGGGCAGGCAGGCCCAGGAGCCTTGCCCAGGTAGGCAGGGGCTTAAGCCTTGTCTATTTATTGCTGCCACCCAGCTGGGCCCCGCACCTTCTAATCACCTCCTGCCGCTCTATTCCTGGCCCCTTGTGCAACTCTCCGTGGCAGCGCCACCAGACAGGTCCGTCTGCTCACTGTGCCCAGACTTGAGCCAACAGGATCTGGTTGGCAGCCTGCCTGCCTTCTGCCCCGTGCCTGCAGCACCCTGCCTGCAGCTCAGCCCCCCATGGTGCCCCAGTGTAGGGACACCCAAGCAGGAGGCTGTGCCCCGGAGGCTCCCCTGCTCTCGGGCTTGCTCCCTGCCTGGCAGGAGTCCCAGGCAGCCTCAGCCAACTGAAGAAGACATCAGCCAGATGGCACAAACACTGCTTCCAGCAGTGCTGGCTGACCCCCTCCTGGGCCAGGCAGGGTTGAGATGTTATGTGCCACTGGCATCTCCTGCTGTGGTAAGCTGGCAACCCCAGGGACAACACTGCCAGCTAGGTTGCTTAGCAGGGCCCCTGTGGCAGCAGAGGTGGGCGGGCAGAGTCCCCCTCCCCACCAATGGCAGATTCCTGTGTACTAGGACCTGTTGGCCCAGGGCAGTGTTTCCATACTGCAGGTAAGGACAGCTGTAGTCTTGCTTCATCCTCCACCACCTGCTGAGTGGGCTCTCATGGGCTGGTGGGACCATGCAAGGAAGGGCAGGACCCAGCCCAGGCACTCAGCACCGGGAATAGCCCCGCTCTCCTGAGAAGGGACACGTTGCAAGAGAACAGCAGCAGCAGCAGCTGATAGGGTACCAGGAGGAGACCATAACACATCCCAGGAGAGCCTGGCAGGGAGCAAGAAGTGAGGATGGAGAAGTAAGTTCTGCAGACAGCTATTGCCTGCCACAGGAGGAGAGCACAGATCCGGATGCTGGGGATCAGTCAGCCAGGAACCTCAAGACTCACTGATATCCACCAGAAGGCACCTGCATCCCTGGGATGCAAAGTGTGCCGGGGTGGGGGGCTGCAGCT